CTGTTTCAATGCAGTAGTGAGAAATAAATCATAACTAATTGAATACTTACCCAAATCATGCAAAAGACCTATCAAAATGATGCGAACAGAGAGATGCAGAGACTCCTAAAATTTCATGATTTTCTAAGCAGAGCACCGTATATGAAAATAATTTTCAAACATCGAGACAAAGACATGAAGAAGTTACTAGCCGAAAAGCGTGCATGCATATATATAGTAAAAAATTCGCTTTCGCTTACAAAAGACTACGGATTACCGATTAAATATCCAAAATGGGGTAATCCTAATTACTATTACACATATCGTCTTTTAATAATTTCCACCGATCGGAGGAAGCGAACTGTAGAAAATACCTAAAGCCGTATCAAAAGTTTTTACAAGCATATTATACAAATATAACCACATAACTAAATTAAGAGCCAACACAATCCACAACTCCTCCATACGATCTCCTTCTGATTCTCGAGCTCGATTCCCAACTTCACTCCTCGGGCTCCAAATCGGGTATACCTACAAACATACAACACCTATATGAGCCTTTGAGGACTCAATCAGAATCTTGAAGTATTATCGAATACACATAACACATAGATCATAAATATATCTATTTATATACATACATATATCTTATACATGGACATGCAACATAAATATACTTCCCTTTTTCGTCTGAGTTCTTCATCATATAATTGTCACACGCATAGAGTGAGATAATTTCCACTTTTATAACCCTATGATCCCAAGACCATAGAATAAGAATATCCCACCTTTATGCGTGTGACAATTATGTGTACATGTAACAATTATCTGTTACATGTATACATGCAAGGTTTTAGGTATTTCTTTCTATGCTCAAAGTACAACCACAGTAATGCATGTATACTACTAATTAATATGCAATTTTTAAATCATGTGTGTGTGTGTGTATTGATGTATGAAAATTTCAAGAAAAATGAAGGGAGGTTTTTATAATTTTCTACATTAATTAAAAATCCTAAAATGCATGTTAAAATTTTATTTTCTAAAATTTTGTGCATGCATAAATATGATAATGCTCATTTAAATTCATATGCAATAATACAATCATATTTTATGAAAAATAATTTATTTCGACATAATATCTCGAAATATTTCCTAAGCACATAATTCACATAATCACATAATTCACATAGTCACATAATTCACACAATAATTTCATAATCATATATTTCACATAATTACCTAATTCACGTAAATACTAACCATGCAAGAATTATTATAAATTCTAATTTCACAAATATGTACATAGAGGTGGTAAAAATAAAATAATATTATTTTACCGAAAATGCAGGGTGTTACAATCTTCCCCCCTTAAAAACATTTTGTCCCCAAAATTTGTACCTTTTTCAATTAGTTCCGGATAACGACTCACAATCTCATCCTCAAGTTCCCACGTTGACTCATTCGGAGAATGGTTTCTCCAAAGGATTTTGGCTAGGCGAATTTTTTTGTTTCGGAGTTTCCTAACTTTTCGGTCTAATATTTGGGAGGGTTCTTCGGTAAAGGATAGGTTTGGGGATAAATCAAGTGGTTCGGTTTCAAGGATGTGGTTAGGGTTGGGCATATATTTTCGGAGCATGGAGACGTGAAAGACATTGTGGATCTTGGATAATTGAGGTGGTAGGGTGAGGCGATAGGCTTGGCCGCCAATTCGGTCTAGTATTTCAAAGGGTCCAATGAATCGAGGGCTTAACTTTCCTCGTTTTCCGAATCGCATGATTCCTTTGAGCGGAGCGACTTTCAAGAATACGTGGTCACCGGCTTGGAATTCCAACTCTCGTCTTCTTTTATTCGCGTAATTTTGTTTGCGATCTTGGGCGGTTCTCATTTTCTCTCGAATATTCTTGATTATGTCGACGGTGTGTTGGACTAGCTCGGGTCCTAATAATCTTCGCTCTCCTACTTCGTCCCAAAGGATTGGAGAACGACATTTTCTTCTGTACAAGGCTTCGTAAGGTGCCATTCCGATCGAAGATTGGAAGCTATTGTTGTACGAGAATTCGATGAGAGGTAGACGGCTTTCCCAATTACCACCAAAATCCATTATACATGCTCGAAGCATGTCTTCGAGGGTCTTGATTGTCCTTTCCGATTGTTTGTCGGTTTGGGGATGGTATGCCGTGCTAAAGGCTAGACGGGTTCCCATCTTTTCGTGCAATCTTTTCCAAAATTTGGAAGTGAATCGGGGATCTCGGTCGGAGATGATTGATATCGGAACTCCATGGAGTCGGACGATTTCTCCGATATAGAGTTCGGCCAACTTTTCGAGACTAAAAGTGGTCTTGACCGGTAAGAAGTGTGCGGACTTAGTTAGGCGATCGACTATTACCCATATTGAATTGGATCCTTTAAGAGTCTTCGGGAAACCTTGAACAAAGTCCATCGTTACTCTTTCCCATTTCCATTCGGGAATAAGGTTGGATTGTAGAAGTCCACCGGGCCTTTGGTGTTCCGTTTTGATTTGTTGGAAAGGCATTCGGATACGTATTTGGCTATTTCCTTTTTCATGCTTGGCCACAAATACAACTTCTTCAAGTCTTGATACATTTTGGTTTCACCCGGATGGCAAGAGTAGGGCGTTTTGTGAGCTTCGTCGAGAATTAATCCCTTTATCTCTTTGTTTGCCGAAATGCAAATTCTCCCTTGAAATTTCAATATGTTGCCGTCGGTTATCGAGAAATTTGAATTTTGACCGGTTGCTAAGCCTTCTCGGATTTTGATAAGTTGATCATCATGGTTTTGAGCGAACTTAATAGTTGATTCGAGCGGCAGTTTAATGATCAAGGCGGACATGGATTTTCGGCTAAGAGCGTCGGCGACAACGTTGGCTTTACCGGGATGGTAAAGGATTTCGCAATCATAGTCCTTGACTAATTCAAGCCATCTTCTTTGCCTCATATTGAGCTCTTTCTGAGTAAAGAAGTACTTGAGACTTTTGTGGTCGGTGAAGATCGAACATTTCTCTCCGTAAAGGTAATGTCTCCAAATTTTAAGGGCGAACACGACTGCCGCGAGTTCCAAGTCGTACGTCGGCTAATTCCTCTCGCAGTCTTTGAATTGTCTAGAGGCATAGGCAATTACATTCCCGTTTTGCATTAGGACGGCTCCGAGCCCGTGCTTGGAGGCGTCACTATAGACCACATAGTTTCCGGTTTTATCGGGTAGAGCGAGGATTGGTGCCGAGGTTAATCGCTTCTTGAGTTCTTGGAAACTAGACTCGCATTCGGGAGTCCATTGATACTTGACTTCCTTTCGGGTCAAACGAGAGAGTGGAGCGGCTATCTTGGAAAATTTCGGAACGAACCGTCGGTAGTAGCCTGCAATGCCGAGGAAACTTCGGATTTCTCCGACATTACGAGGAGGTATTGACCAATTACAAACGGCTTCAATGTTGCTTGGATCAACGGCTATGCCTTCCTTGGAAATTACGTGACCAAGAAAGTGGACTTGTCTTAACCAAAACTCACATTTGGAAAACTTCGCATAGAGTTGGTTCTCTCGGAGAGTTTGGAGCACCATTTCCAAATGATTCCGATGTTCTTCATCATTTCTTGAATACACTAAGATATCGTCAATGAATACGATCACAAATTGATCGAGGTATTTGCAGAAGATTCGATTCATGAGATCCATGAAAGCGGCTGGGGCGTTGGTTAGACCAAACGACATTACTACAAATTTGTAATGGCCGTAACGGGTCCGAAACGCGGTTTTCGGAATATCTTCCTTCTTGATCTTCAATTGATGATATCTGGAACGGAGGTCGATTTTGGAATAGACCGTGGAGCCTTGAAGTTGGTCGAAAAGGTCGTCAATTCTTGGCAATGGATACTTGTTTTTGACGGTGACCTTGTTGAGTTCTCGGTAATCGATACACATTCGGAGGGTTCCGTCTTTCTTTTTCACGAAGAGTACCGGAGCACCCCATGGGGAAAAACTAGGGCGGATGAACTTCTTGTTGATAAAATCTTGAATTCGGTCCTTGAGTTCCTTTAGCTCTAATGGCGCCATACGGTAAGGTGCCTTCGAGATAGAAGCGGATCCGGAGATCAAATTAATTTCAAATTCGATTTCGCGATCGGGCGGAAGACCGGGGAGATCTTCGGGAAAGACATCGGGAACTTCGCAAATGGTTGGCACTTTGGAAATGTCGGCTTTATCTTCGTTGAGAGTTTCCTCTATGTCGACCAAATGGCATAGATGTCCTTTTTGAATAAGTTTGCTCGCTTTGATGGCGGAAATGATAGGAATCGACGGATTGTACGAGCTTCGGAATTCGAGAAAACTTCCATTCGGTAAGGAAAAATTTACGGTTTTGTGAGCGCAATTAATTTGGACGTCGAATTTTGATAACCAATCCATTCCAAGAATTATTTCGAAATGTTTAATGGGTAGAATGATCAGATCGGAGGCTAGGGTTTGGTTATGAATCTGATCGGGAAATCTTTGATGATGAAATTGGATTTAAGTTCATCACCGGAAGGAATAAGTATGCTAAACAAGGCATCGGCTTGACTATGGACTAGGCGGAGTTCGGCAACGAGGGTACATGAGATGAATGAGTGAGTTGATCCGGAGTCGATGAGGGCATACACTGAATTATTATACACATTAACGGTACCTGCGATCATTGACGGGTCGGCTTCGGCTTGGTCTCTAGTCATGGCGAATACTCGTCTCCGCACTTGTCTCGGGGCGATAGGGCAGTCTCGGACCATGTGTCCGGGCTTCTTGCATCAAAAACAGTGGTTGGTTCCGGCAACACAATCGCCTGAGTGCTCCCGATTGCATTTAGGGCAAAAGGGTTTGTTGCTCGGGACCACGGTTGCTCGGTTGATCGTTTGCTTTCCTTTAGCGTTGTTGAGGTTCAGTTTCTTCCATGGTCGAGAGGAGGCATCGTGAGGAGGTCTCCATTATCGGATTTCCATCTCGTCTTGTTCGGCTTCTAAGGCTTTGTCCACTACTCCGCGGAAAGTAGAGGCAGAGGTTAGTCGAACGTCGCGCTTGATTATCGGGTTGAGGCCCCTTAGGTAGTGATTCATTTTCTCAGTGTCGCCTTTGGATATGAAAGGTGCGTAGAGGCTTCCTTGCTCGAAACGGCGAGTGAATTCGGCAACGGTTAGGTTTCCTTCTTTGAGTTCGAGAAACTCCTTAAGCTTTTGTGCTCGGACATTCTTGGAAAAGTACTTTTCGAAGAAAATAACTTTGAAAGCTTCCCAAGTGGTATTTGCTAGATCGATCCCACTTTTTGCGCATTCCCACCAATTTCGGGATTCATTCTTCGACGAGAATAGTGCGCAATGGATTCGGTCGCTGTCATTCATCACCATGTATTCCGAAATAACTTCGAGGGATTTGATCCATTCTTCGGCAACAGTTGGACTTGGGCCGCCGTGGAATTCGGTAGGATGCATTTTCAAGAATCGCTCGTAGGAGGCTGTATTTCTAGGTGGGGGAGGAGGAGGAGGTGGAAGAGGGTTTCGGTTTTGAAGGTTAGCAAGGCGGTTGATTTGTTCATTTTGTTCTCGGGCGAGGGTGGTGAGGTCTTGGATGGTACAAGATTGATTGTGAGGATCGTTAGCGGCATTTTGAGCTCGAGTTCTTGCTCCCGACATTTTAATACTTAAACATATACAAACAATTCACATTAGCCATAAAAATTCACATAAAACATATACCTGCCCGAGTGCTCAGTTGGGGTCGTGCTTTGAGAATCGTGAAGATCTTTAGGTCGTATGGAGAATTTCGGGATCGTTGCTCTGATACCACCACTGTTGTGACACTCGATTACTCTTATTATATGTAATCTCAGCGGAAGACTTTTAAAAATGATTATTATGGATTAAATTTACGTAAAAGTTTTTCTTTTTAAATCAGAGGGAGGGAGGTCACACTATACTAAACCCTAATCAACCACTTAACACCAATACATGTGCTACATGCAGGACTAGAAAATAACTAGGCATGATGGACTTAATGCAAGTTCGGACAGATTCAGTGCAGAAACTTTAAAACTTAAGTCCTCTCATACTACTCATGAAAATGACCCCAAAATAATACCATACCATCTAACATGGGTCTAGATCACTCAATTAAAACAGTGTTAGAAGATGCTTGGCCATTTGGGAGAAATAAATAAAATGGCACAGTCACTCAGTTTAAAATCCAGAACAGGGGAGGGAGTTTTGAAAATTCATAATAAATTCCTCACTGACCCAAAAACTACCAAATTTTACCGAAAGGAAGAAATTAAGTTTAAAACATTTTCAAAGTAGAAACAAGGCATGTGAGAGAGTAAAACTCCAGTTATACTAGAAAACACCCGAATGACCCTGTTTCAATGCAGTAGTGAGAAATAAATCATAACTAGTTGAATACTTACGCAAATCATGCAAAAAAAACCAATCAAAATGATGAGAACAGAGAGATGCAGAGACTCCTAAAATTTCATGATTTTCTAGGCACAGCACCTATATGAAAATAATTTTCAAACATCAAGACAAAGACATGAAGAAGTTACTAGCCGAAAAGCGTGCATGCATATATATAGTAAAAAATTCGCTTTCGCTAACAAAAGACTACGGATCACCGATTAAATATCCAAAATGGGGTAATCCTAATTAATATTACACATATCGTCTTTTAATAGTTTCCACCGATCGGAGGAAGCGAACGGTAGAAAATACCTAAAGCCGTATCAAAAGTTTTTACAAGCATATTATACAAATAGAACCACATAACTAAATTAAGAGCCAACACAATCCACAACCCCTCCATACGATCTCCTTCCGATTCTCGAGCTCGATTCCCAACTTCACTCCTCGGGCTCCAAATCGGGTATACCTACAAACATACAACACCTATATGAGCCTTTGAGGACTCAATGAGAATCTTGAAGTATTATCGAATACACATAACACATAGAGCATAAATATATCTATTTATATGCATACATATATCTTATACATGGACATGCAACATAAATTAAAACAATCATATACTTCCCTTTTTCGTCGGAGTTCTTCATCACATAATTGTCACACGCATAGAGTGAGATAATTTCCACTTTTATAACCCTATGACCCCAAGACCATAGAATGAGAATATCCCACCTTTATAACCCTATGCCGTGACACGTATTGAGGATTATAGAATGAGAATCTCCCACCTTTATAACCCTACGATCCCAAGACCATAGAGTGAGATTTTCCCATCTATATCATCAACACCATAATGCAACATGCATGACATGAAAAAACATCGGGAATCCCTCGGAAGAGTTAATCTAAGTTACCGGTAAATAACCTCATATATTTCGAATCCGTCTATCTACGTGGAATCAAACCACCCCTAGGCCCTACGGTACCGACTCGCCGTACCCGGGATATTTACCGTAACCTCGAAAGACTTTCCATCATATTTTTATCTTTTAAAAAGTCATGACACTAATGCACCCACACATGCATTCTTCTACTTACCCTTCTCTCATCCTCACACCCAATGATCCACATAAGCAAGCAAGAGCACATAGAAAAATACACATAAAGTTTCACAAAATCATTTAGCCATAAAACATAAGAGTAACCGAAATCTTAACATGCAAAGACAATTTACATTAAAAAATTCATTAAATCTAACATTTCTACGAGATTTAAATTCAAGACTTCCATCTTTACATTTATTCAAGTAAATACACTAGATCTTCACATTCAAGAGTATTTTAAATCAAGTTAGCACAAATTCTTAGTTATTTCATCATTTTTCATAGAAAACACTAGATCTTAACATGCAAGACTTTAAATCAACCACCAATCACTAGATCTTAACATGCAAGACCTTAGATCAACAATCAATCACCAAATCTTAACATGCAAGGCCTTAAAACAACAACCAACACAAGATCAACACATGCAAGATATCAAATAAACCAAATAAACAATTTTAAGCATTTTACCTAAAAAATTCGAAAGTTCCATAGTTAAGCCAAAAATCAATTTCTTTTCACAAATCAACAATCAACCACTAGATTATCACATGCAAGGCACTAATTAAGCCAAATAAGCAATTTAAGCCTTTTCCCCTAAATTTTCGAAAGTTTCATGGCTTGGCCAAAATTCATTTTCTTTTCATAAATCAACAATCAAACACTAGATTAACACATGCAAGGCACTAATTAAGCCAAATAGGCAATTTAAGTATTTTTCCCCAAATTTTCGGAAAAGTATATAACTTCAAGAAAAAAGTTATCTTTTCAAAACACTAACATGCAATCATCATCTAAGCCATATAATCACATAATATGCAAGGATAAACACATAAAAACACATAAAAATCGAAAATACTAGTGGTGTTGCATATTTGAGCCAGAATTCTAGAATTCTCACCTCTACTTTTTAGGGGAAGGATTTGTTAGCTCTTTTCTCTCTAATACAAGAAGAGATAAGAGTTAGATTATGTATTAAGAAAAGAAGAGGAAGAACAAGAATAACTTGGATGAAGAAGAGCTTGGCTCTTTTCGAAAAAAAAGAAAAAAAGAAAAGAGGAAGAGGAAATTAGCTTACTTAGCCTTGGCCGAAAATTCTTCTTCTATTTATAGAGTTTTTGGAGAGTTCAAAGTCAATTGAAAAGAAAGGAAAATACATCTTTTTGTGAAGGTGATTTTGCAATTTCTGAAAATGGGAGTGGTGGTGGTTCTTGGGTGGTTCAAGCTTGAGAAAGTGGTGGTGTTATGGCTGCCGAAATGAAGGGGAGAGGAAGAAGAAGAAAGACCTTTGGTCTTACTTAAAGTGGTGTGTGGGAATGGAAAAGCAAGCCTAGTCTAGAGGGTAGGAATGCTAGCTTTTAGGTATTTCTTTCTATGCTCAAAGTATAACCACACTAATGCATGTTTACTACTAATTAATATGCAATTTTTAAATCATGTGTGTGTGTGTGTGTGTGTGTGTGTGTGTGTGTGTGTGTGTATTGATGTCCGAAAATTTCAAGAAAAATGAGGGGAGGATTTTCTAATTTTCTACATTAATTAAAATTCCTAAAATGCATGATAAAAAATTATTTTCTAAAATTTTGTAAATGCATAAATATGATGAAATGCTCATTTAAATTCATATGCAAGAATAAAATCCCAGTTTATGAAAAATAATTTATTTCGACATAATATCTCGAAATATTTCCTAAGCACATAATTCACATAATCACATAATTCACATAATCACATAATTCACACAATAATTTCACATAATCATATATTTCACATAATTACCTAATTCACGTAAATACTAACCATGCAAGAATTATTATAAATTCTAATTTCACAAATATGCACGTGGAGGTGGTAAAAATAAAATAAAATTATTTTACGGAAAATGCAGGGTGTTACATGCAAAGTCCATAGCAATAACTAGAAAAAACGAAGTCACCATGACAAATAGACACTACTTAGTCCGACGTGAAAATTGGAAAATAACAATATAAATAATACAAAGTGCAATGAACTATATAAATTATACTATCGGAGCCTTCTTGCTTGTTCCTCTCTTCTAGATTGTTGTCTCCCCCGTGTTTGTGGCACGTCCATCTCATTAGGAATTCGACTGCGTCTTCGATCTCTTAGTAGTGTTGGATCATGAATTAGTTCAAAAGAAACATCCTCCCAATAGTGTTCACTCAACAGGTTTGGAATATCCCAGAATAAGTGTTCACTAATCGATCAACGGTGTAACAATCGTTCATGTTTACGGAGGCAGACAATATCCATTCACGGCACACGTGGAGGACATGACTGTAGGGGATTCCTGTTAGGTTCCATCGCATTGGCCTCGTGGAGACGAGTAAAAAAATACCTAACAATGCGGGTGAATGTGAGGTCAACAATTGTTGAGATGAGAAGTTTTCGAGTTCCCTTGAGAACACCATTATAAGATTATGAGTTCTGACATGTTTGTAGTAAGTTGACCACAACGCTTGCCCCCATCATGTGCAAATACCCATTTTTCTTTGATCAATATCGTAAAACTTATCATATCGGCACCTTGCAACATCAACTGAATATGCCACCACTTTTGGAAACGACATCAAGAAAAATGGGATTGACTCGTACAATGTCGGTTGTTCCTCCGCCTTGTTGTGCTGCAACCACGTCTCCCGAACATCATCTTGTACGTCTTCATCTTCATTGTCGTCGTCTCCGTCATCGGATGGTTCGGAATTCACAGGATTGTTCGGCCCAAAGGAGTCACCTATAAGGTCATCATCTTCGGAAATGCTCCATCTTGGGAAACTCGACTCACCAACAAATCCCCCTAAATTACCATAGTTAATTGTATAGGGATCTTTGTGCACCTCTCTCGCTCCACTAGTCTCACAATAGTTAGGGATGCTATGTGTAGCCGCCAGAAAATCCGGAGTCACCAGTGGTTGTGAGAAATATGGTTTTCAAATTAAATGCCTCGACGCTCACTTGTGGTGGGGCACTATCAATGTACTTCGGTTCAATCTCAACAAATACTTCGATTGCCTCATTCCTTTCGTTTGGATCGATATACATTTGTAAATCTTCATCTGTTGTCATCTCGGTAATCATCTCTTTCATTCTTTCTCCATTATAAATGTAAGA